TCCAGTTCTTTAATGTTTAACTTATGACTTCATCATAATTATAGTAAACAGTTAGTGGAAACTGTTCTGGTTGCTAATGGAAACCTGGCCTGCCACAATGGTGTCCCATAAGTCTCTTAGGATCTATTTACTTTTCTTAAGTTGTTTTTCTTTCTATTTCTCAGATTCAATAATTTCCATTATTTAATCTTCAAATTTGCTAATTCATTCTTCTACTTGTTCAAATCTCCCTTTGAATACTTCCAGTGAAATTTTCATTTTAGTTACTGGGTTTTTCAGCTCCAGACTCTCTTTTAGGTTTCTTTTTAGCTCTTCTACCTTTTTATTGGTATTTCCATTTTGTTCATACACTACTTTTGACTTTCTTCATCTTTTCTTTTAGGGTTTTTTTTTTTTTTTTTGGCATGTTTAAGACAATTTAGTAGATCCGCCATCAAGTCTGTTTCAGGGACAGTTTCTGTTTACCGTTTTTCCTTTGACTAGGCCATATTTTCCTGTTTCCTTATATGCTTTATGATTTTTTTTTTTGTCATTGAAAACCGAACATTTGAATTCAATAATGTGATAACTCTGGAAATCAGATTCTCCTTCTTCCCAGGGTTTGCTGGTTTTTCTTATTGTTTTTGTTTATTTATTTTTAATTATTGTAGTTTGTCTCTGGGCCAAGAGTCAACCTGAGGTGTAAACTTAAGGTCTTCTCAGGTCTTTTCTGGGCCTTACCCTGGGCATGTTTAGTCACTTTCTATTTTTTCTTTTTTGTGTTGTTTTTAATGTCATTGTTTTTTTATCTCTGGGTCCAGAAGAGAGAAAAAGAAAAAAATGAAGTAGGGAGGGAAAGGTGTTGTCTTTTTTAATTCCCCAGAGTCACTTGAGCTGGAGGAGTTTGCAACAAATGGGGGTAGGTGCAACAATAATGGCCACTCACCCCTTTGTAGCTCTCTGAACTTTTGTGTTCAGAAGTGACATTCAGGGCCAGGCCTGGTGGCTGACGCCTGTAATCCTGGCACTTTCTAGATGGATCACTTGAGGCCAGCAGTTCAAGACCAGCCTGGGCCAACATGGTGAAACTCCATCTCTACTAAAAATACAAAAATTAGTCAGGTGTGGTGGCAGGCACCTGTAATCCCAGCTACTCCGGAGGCTAAGGCAGGAGAATCACTTGAACCTAGGAGGCGGAGGCTGCAGTGAGCTGAGATCGCACCAATGCACTCCAGCCTGGATGACAGAGCGAGACTCTGTCAAAAAAAACCCAAAAAACGAAAAACAAAAAAACATTGACATTCAGCGATCGAGCACGGAGTACTGATATTTGAAGGACAGAGTCCTTTTTGCTCAACCCCCCAAACTGTAAGCTGTTTCAGGAACCTATGCACTGCTGCCTGCCTTGCAGATGTGCAGTGAGGAATAGATAGTTGCTACTGTGCTAAGTGCTGAAATTGACAGAAATTAACCACAACTTACATTCCAAACCTTCCTCTAGAAGTTTCAAGCCTTCAATAGACTCCAGAAGTAGTTAGGTAAGACAGATTCTGCCAGTGCAATTGTTGCCTGCATGGAGAGACAGATTACTCGTGCTTCCTGCTCCACCATCTTCCCCAACCTGACCTCCTAGAGTTTTCAATATACATTTTAACCTACTCTTCCTCCATCCTCAAATAACATTATACTGCTCCACGTGTAGTGGAGGTAACTTACAACAACAGAATAACTCCACTTCCTCCCATCCCTCATTACATTGGTGCCATTCATTTCACTTGTCTCTATGCTCTAATCTCCCAAGACATTGTTACTCTTACTTTAAACAAACTGTTATCTGTCAGATCAATTAAGAATGAAAAAATAAAAGATTTTATTTTACCTTCATTTATTCCTTCTCCAATGCTCTCCCTTTATGTAGGTCTAAGTTTCTGACTTATGTCATTTCTTTTTCCTTGAAGAACTTCTTTTAATATTCTTTGCATGCAGTTCTGCTTGCAATGAATTCTCTCATTTTTTGTTGACTAAAAAATTTCTCTTTCACTTTTGAAGGATAATTTTTCTGTACCTAAAATTATAGCTTGGTGCATTTTAAATGCACCAAGAAAAGAGACTACATTCTTTTCTTGCTTGGTTGGTTTCTTTCTTTTCTTTTCTTTCTTTTTTTTTTTTTCATGTAGAGATGGGGTCTCGCTATGTTGCCCAAGCTGCTCTTGAACTACCATGGAGGGCTCAAGTGGTCCCCAACCCTCAGCCTCCCAAAGTGCTGGAATTATAGGCGTGAGTCACTATGCCTGGCAGGTTTCTGATGAGAAGTCCACTGTGATTATTATCCTTGTTCCTACGTAGGTAAAAATTTTTTTCTCTCACTTCTTTAAATATTTTCTCTTTGTCTTTGCTTTGTTGCAGTTTGAGTATGATATGCCTAGTCATATGCGTTTTGGTATTTATCCTGTTTGATCTATCCTCAGCTTCCTGGATTGTGGTTGTATGTCTGTCATTAATTTTGAAAATTTTTTTACCATTATTATTTCAAATATTTCTTCTGCTCTGTTTTGTCTTTCTTCTTCTTCTGGTACCAATTACACATAGTTACACTTTTGAAATGTCCCAGAGTTCTTGTATGTTCTGTTCTGGTTTCAATTATTTCTTCTCTTTGCATATCAGTTTGGGAAGTTTCTGTTGAACTATTTTCAAGCTCATGGGTTCTTTCCTTGGCCATGTCCAATCTATTAATGAGCCCATCAAAGGCAATCTTCATTTATATTATAATATTTTTTATTCCTAGCATTTCTTTATTATTCTTTCATCTATCTTATATTGCCCATTTGCTCTTGCATGTTGTCTACTTTTTTCATCAGAGTCCTTAACACATTAATCATGGTTATTTTAAATTTCCTGTCTGATAACTCCAAAATCTATGTCGTATCTCAGTCTGATTCCAGTGCTTGCTTTGTCTCTTCAGGCTATGTTTCCTCTTGTCTTTTAGTATGCCTTGCAATTTTTTATTGAAATCTGGTGTGATGCATTGGGTAATACAAACTGAAGTAAATAGACATTTAATGTTAAGTTTTATGTTAATCTGGCTAGAAGTTGGACTGTGTTTAATGTTTGCTATAGCTAGAGGGGCTAGAGATTTCAAATTCCGTTAGTGTTCTCTAGTCTCCCCTGTTGATTTTGGGATTCTCTGAGAACCCTTCCTCAGTTAGAGTCTGTGTGTTGGAGCTTTTCCAGCCGCAATCCACTGCTATTATACTAGAGTTATGTTGGTGTGGTAGAAAGGAGTGGGAAGGGAAAGTGTTTTGTAATTTTTTTTTTTTTTTTTTTGAGACAGGGTCTCACTGTCACCCAGGCTGGAGTGCTGCGGTGCAATCTCGGCTGACTGCATCCTCTGCCTCCCAGGCTTAAGCAATTCTCCTGCCTCAGTGCTCATACCCACCCCTGCTTCTCTGCTGAGTAGCTGGAACTACAGGCGCCTGCCACCACGCCGGCTAATTTTTGTATTTTTTGTAGCGATGGGGTTTCACCGTGTTGCCCAGGCTGCTCTTGAACTCCTTGGCTCAAGTGATGTGCCCATCTTGGCTTTCCAAAGTGCTGGAATTATAGGTGTGAGGCATTGTGCCTGGGCTATTTTGTAATCCTGTAATTAAATCTTAGTCTTTTAATAGGCCTATGTCCCTGAGCTGTGACCTTCACAAATGTTTGTTAGCTTTTTAAAATTTCCTTAGGTAGACAAAAAGGCTAGTGGGCTGGGTGTAGGTGAAACGCCTGTTTCCAAGTTGGGATAAGGCTCTCATAAAGTCTTTTCCCTGGAAAGTGGGACTTCTATGTGGACAATGTTCTGGGCATGCTTCACAATGGTTACTCTTCCTCTTTCTCTGCCCGAGCCACGGGGGCATCTTTCTTGGCTTTTCATTGTGCAAACTGAGTGGGTTTCTGGAGGAAAACCCATTAAAGTCTGGGGGTCTCTCTAACATTAAAATACCCAGGAGTTTCTCATCATCTAGACAGTTCATACTCGGCCTCTAGAAATTTGTCAAAGTAACCACTTAAGTGTTTCTACCAATTTATAGTTCTGGTTGCTCCTGCTCAAAGTAAGCAGATCTCTGCTGTGACTCTTTGAACTTGCATGTCTCTTCAGATGTCAGCATGGTAATTTACCCTGCAACCTGGTTCTCTAATGGCTCTAAGAAAAGCCATTGGTTTTCAGTTTGTTCAGCTTTTCTTCTTGTAAGAATGGGAGCAGTAACTTCCAAGCTCTTTACATGCCAGAGCTGAAACTGGTGATTCCATCCTGGGCTGTTTTTTATTTAGTATCTTGGCTGAGTTTTCAGGGGATGGGAAGTGTGTGTAATTTCCTAAACTTCCACTTGGAATTCCCCAGTATGATAGCTCTTACCCCTTACAGATCCAGAATTTAATATCGGGGTTGCACAAACTACTAAGGATGTATATTCTATGTGTATGTTTGTATACTTGGGGCATGGCAAGTAGTTTGAGAACGCTGTAGATTTACCTGGGCCAGACATCCAGTCTCGACTTCCATATATCTCCATGCTAAGAAAGGGCCAATAATGAAACTCTGAGTCTCTTGGTATCAATGTCATTTTACATACTGTGTCCATGATGTCCTTGAAATATTTGGATATTCCCTTTTCCCCAGTGTATGGCTATCTAAGTAAATGGCTATGGATCACCTGAGGGAAGGACTTGGGGAATTATTACTGTGTACACTTGTTCTGATGCTGCAGAGTTCTTTCTTCTACAGACAGTCCCTCTCCCTCCAATTAAATATATTCTAGGTCCAAAAACTGGTTCAAGTCCAGAAACTGGGCTTGTGATCATGACTTTGTATTATAACATCAGCCTTTAACCTCTTGATCATCCATTCTTGGTTTAATTTGGTTGTTCAGATTGAAGACTTTCTTTGATGGTTGCCCATTTATTTTGCTCCAGATGGCTTATTTGTCATCTCCAAAACATCTGTGGGTAAAGCCCCTTGAACTGCCACTCTTGCCTTGCAGTGTCCATTTGGCTTTTGAAGTTTGAATGCCATCATGTCACTTCAATGTCACAAGGTTCTATCATCTCTACTGCTCTCAGTGAACCCAGTTTTGAAATGGTTTCTTCTGCCTTCACCCTGGACTACAGAGAGAACCACTGCTGAGTCTTAGAGTGATGCTGATTCCTCTCTAACCAGATCATTCCTTACTGATTTGGTAAGCAGTATATTCCTGAAGTTTCCTTTGAAATATATTGATCTGTTGGGTTTTCCATTTTTAAATAAGTATATTCACTCTAGCATGCTCACTTCTTTGAGCCATTTAGTCCCTCCTTACAATGTAAACCAAAGCAGTTTTGGCATCTCTATGTAACCTGGTGTACTGTGAGCCATTGATTTCTCTGTGCTTCTAGATGACATGCTAAGTGTGTTCACACTATCACCCAGGATTCTTCTATGAGTGTTAAATCTTGCATGCTAGGAGAGTATTACCAACTTGATAAATTCTCCCTTATGTAACTGTATGCTCCCCTTCCCCACCCTGCCGTTCATAACCTTCAGAATTCGGTCGTTGGCCAGACGTGGTAGCTCACGCCTGTAATCTCAGCACTTTGGGAGGCTGAGGCAGGCAGATCACCTGAGGTTGGGAGTTCAAGACCAGCCTGACCAACATGGAGAAATCCCGTCTCTACTAAAAATACAAAATTAACTGGGCATGGTGACGCATGCCTGTAATCCCAGCTACTCAGGAGGCTGAGGCAGGAGAAACGCTTGAACCCAGGAGGTGGAGGTTGCAGTGATCCAAGATTGCACCATTGCACTCCAGTCTGGGCAACAAGAGTGAAGCTCTGTCTCAAAAAAAAAAAAAAAGAATTTGGTCCTGTACCTACTCTCCTGGTTCCTGCTGGTACCTGTTGGCTGGACCCTACAGCTTCTTTGAGTAGGATTACATGCCAATATTATGAGTCCTCTGATGTTGTATTAGTCTGTTCCCATGCTGCTAATAAAGACATTCCTAAGACTGGGTAATTTTTAAAGGAAAGAGGTTTAATGGACTCACAATTCCACATGGCTGGGGGTGCCTCACAATCATGGCAGAAGGCAAAGGAGGAGCAAAGGCACATCTTACATGGTGGCAGGCAAGAGAGCATGTGCAGGGGAACTCCCCTTTATAAAACCATCAACTCTCCTGAGACTTATTCACTATCACTAGAACAGAATGGGAAAGACTCACCCCCATGATTCAGTTGCCCCCGCCACCAGGTTTCTCCTATGACACATGGAAATTATGGGAGCATCAGTTCAAGATGAGATTTGGGTCAGGACACAGCCACACCATATCAGATGTCCTTGGAATATCATATGTAGTGATATGACTTTGTATCATGTGATACTTATATCATATACTTTTTTCTGCCTTCCCCCTGTAAGAAATGGCAGTCAAAGGAGCTTTACTCATGGAAGTTTTGGAGACAATAAATTAAATAAGGCATCTGGAAGAAAATAAATGGGCAACCGTCAAGGGAAGTTCTCAATCTGAACAACCAAGTTAAGCCAAAGATGGATGCTTATGATACACTTTTATTATATGTAGCGATGTCCCTGGAATATCATATGCAGTGACTTCCTGGTTTATGTATCCTGAAAAGGGCAGTAGATGTTATTCTGCAGAGAGGAAACCTCTGCATCATTTTATAAGAGAGGAACATGAGCTTTTAATATGGAAAGGTAGGGTACTTTGGCAGACTCGGTGGGTTGAGGGGAATCCAGGGATTCAAAATTTTTGAAGTACATCTACCCAAATGTCCCCACCCATGTGTCAGAGTCCCACTCTTTCCCATCCAGGGTCGTAACCTTGGTATATCACAATTGCCTAAGTGGAGAGTTTAATCTTCTTTGGATGTTTCCACTTAATTTTCTGCTACTATTATGTTTGAGTCCTGGAACTGCTTTTCAGTTTTCTCTGCCTTCCCACTGCAAGAAATGAAAACTTTTTTAGATGCTCCCTCATAGGATTTCTGGTTTTCATGCTTAGTTTTGAATTGCAGACAAATCACTTCCAGCCTTTCATTATCTCTCCCCAAAATATTAATTCTACTTAGCAAGTAGCCATCAGATTCTAGGGAGCTTGTAGTTAATTAGTTCCCCCATATGTGAGAGCTGCATGCCTTTTGCAGTACACCACATGCTTTTTTCCCAGTAAGCTACAGGTGAAAGTTTTAACAACTGCCCTGCTTCCTTGTGTCCTACCTCCACCACAGATTCATTGCCAACCAGCAATGGGTGACCAACTCCAAAATCCAATCATAATGTCTGCTTTCCTTCTGGCACCACTTCTGACACCAAATCTTTTAGGTCAGCTTCCATGAAAACCAGACTCTGAGGCAAAGATTAGCATTTAGGAAGTTTATTAAGAAGTACACTTGGGATCAATATCAGTGGAAAGAAAAGATAAAAGTAGAATCAGATAAGGAAAAGTTGACCGTGATGCTGTTGCATAACAATGAATTTGACTGGCCTTTATCCCTGATTCATGGGATTGGTTCATTTTAAGTCCTTGGGACCTCCTAAGTCGTAAGAGTATCTTTGTTGCTCTCTTTAGGGAATATGCAGTGACTTCCTGGTTTATGTATCCCGGTTTTTGTATTCCCTTTATTCTCTTTATATATTCTCTTTATTCTCTTTAGGTTTATGTATTCCCTTTATTCCCTAAAGAGAGTTACTCTCTTTATGCTGGGCCCTTGGACCACATCTGAATTAGTGCTAAGGAGATAACTCAGGATGGAGACTGGTCATCCCAGAAAGAGCAACCAAGTGATTAAAGGGCTGAAGCTTTGAGCCGCATGTTATCAGCCTAATCTCTTGACCTTTAAGCAGGCAAAGGAGGCTGAAAATTGAGTTGAATCATGAAGCCAATGATTCAGTCAATCAATCATGGCTACATAATGAAACCCCAGTGAAAACTGCAGACACTGAAGCTCAGTGGAACACCCTGGTTTGTGAGGACATGGATGTGAGGGAGGGTCACATGTTCTAATTCCATGGGGAGCAGACACAAAAGCTCTGATTTGTTTCCTTTATAATAAAACAGCAACCATAAGTATAGTGCTTTCCTGAGTTTAAGTTATTCTAGTAAATTATCAAATATGATGGAGTTGTGAGAAACTCTGAATTTGTAGTCAGTTGGGCAGAAGTGCTGGTGGCCTGCAGACCCCTGAACTTATGAATGGTGTCTGGAGTGGGGACATCTTCAGTCTTGTTTGGGACTGTGTCCTTAACTTATGGGATTGGAGGTAACTCTGGATTGTTACTGGCCAAATTGCTTTGGGGTACATCAGATGCCATTATAACAAAGGCTTCAGCTGATCCCACAGAGGGTTCAGATGCTCTGACGCTCACAGTTGTCCTGAGTTCTTAGACAGGCCAGGCCTTTATACCTGTAGAATGTATTCAGGCTGCCCCTGGGCATGGCAGGTTTCTTTAGCCACAGAAGTTCCGGAAGAGGGCTGACATGAGGATTGTGTGCAAGTGGCAAGCACTCCCAGAGCTGAGGGATGTCTCATTATGGAAGTGAGACTGTGATGGCAAGCCATAGTGCCACTATTGTTTGTAACTATTTCTGTCTCTTATATACTAAAGAGAGGATAAGGTGATTAAAAATAGTACTGAAAATTCTTTCAAATTTGTAAGCATTTTGTTGCTAAAGAGGATTCAAAGAGGGAGACTGGTGGATTGATCCTGGCAAATCCTCATGAGTGATCATATTGTTTTCCCACTTAAATCTCATTTCTGTTTTCCTCTTGTTTTAGGAAGGATAAAGCCTTACCTCCTCAGCAGGACTCCTCAGATGGGGCATTATTTGCCCTGTTCTTGCATCTGCAGGATCACAGATGACAACTTCCTCATCTCAACACATACATGTTGTTTTCTCTGTCTGTGGGTCGCACCTGACTTTTTAAAGCTTCAGGGCCTTTGCACAGGCTGTTTTCTCTGCTTGGAATGCTTTCTGCTCTCTCTGCCTGGACAATTTGCATTTTTTTTTTTTTTTTTTGAGATGGAGTTTCGCTCCTGTTGCCCAGACTGGAGTGCAAGGGCACAATCTTGGCTCACCACAACCTCCGCCTCCTGGGTTCAAGCCATTCTCCCGCCTTAGCCTCCCGAGTAGCTGGGATTACAGGTATGCGCCACCACGCCTAGCTAATTCTGTATTTTCAGGGGAGACGGGGTTTCTCCATATTGGTTAGGCTGGTCTTGAACTCCCGACCTCAGGTAATCTGCCTGCCTTGGCCTCCCAAAGTGCTGGGATTGCATTCATTTTTAAGGTTTTTGTCTAAATGTTTCTTTCTCAGAGAGGCATTCCCTAACCCTCAATCTAGATCAAGGCCACTTGTTTTATGCTCTTACAACGCCTGCCCTCTGTAGCTGGCCTTTTCAGCACTTATCATAGCGATAACAACATAGTTATTTATGTGTTTAGCTGGTCAGTGCCTGTCTTTCTCCCTCTGCCAAGTTTTATGAAGGCAAGAACAATGGCTATTTTCTTCTTTCCTCTTTCCCCAGCACTTAACTCAATGCCTGACATGGCGAGCTTAATACATATTTGTTGAGCGAATAAATAAATGGTAATAGTGATACTGTACAATGGTCAGTAGTGCAGCTCTGGAGTTGGACTGGGTTCAAATCATCCAAATCCCCACTTGTCCACTGAGAGTTCTGTAAACTAGTTCTCTACATGGACAATGCAGAAATTTTATCAGTTCATGTTCATCTTGTCAGACTGGGAGAACTTATCCTCAGTAACCACACCTTAGACAGATAAAGTAGAATGAGAATATCTATTTATCAGCCGCAGCAGAACATAGCAATTAAGCACACACACTGTCTGGGCTGACTCTCAGAACTGTCATCTTGGCCAAAATACTTGCCTCTTTGAGTAACAGTTTCCTCAGCTGTTGGACTAAACTTGAAGTTGCTGTAAGTCTCAATTAGGCTCAAATGTGTGAGGAACAGCATCTGGCTCATAGTGCTTTGTATGCGTTTGCTATTAGCAATTATTTTTTATTGATTTATGTTATTAAGTCATTTTGTCCAGGTGAGAAAGTCCATGCCATAGACCAGAGGGTTGTCTGGTAGAGAAAGAGGAAGAGTAAGGGAAATAGGATATTCTCTGGAAATATTTCCAGCCAAGTTGTGGAGGGCCTGGTTGGTGCCCTTTCTCTACTCTAGGGATAATGATGTCTGAAAATCCAGTGTGGATCATTTAGAATTCTGCCCTTCTTCCCA